TGGAAGAGATAATCTTCTGTGTTCTGATCAGGGTTATCAGAGCTCCCAACAATATCAAATGGAGACCTCCCTGCCATCATCTCAAACATCAGTACTCCAAGAGCCCACCAGTCAACACTGAAACCTTCAGAAAGAAATTTTAAAGCAATAAATAACACAGTTGACATTCTCGAAAGTCAGTAATTGGAGATTCATTCTATGACATAACGAAAAACTAAACATAATGAAAAAGTAAACTATAAATGCATTATAAGTATCATGGTAGGCATTGAGGATTATAGTAATTCTTTACTTATCAACAAGGGTACTTACCTAAAAGATAACTTAAAAATAAAGTTATGGGAAAAGAAAAATGTTTCTTTTTCCAAATATGTTTAACTTAAAACTCAAGCTCAGTATCTAATATTTTAGAGATATAATTAAATTTTATTTAAGAATAATTTCCCTGGTTTGAAATTTGATCTTTTGCTAGCTGATTAAAGACCTTTGAAGGACTTTGGATTCAGATTGTGAGCAGCTTTCAAAAGTACCACATCCTCCTTTATCTGCTGAAAGCAGAGGCCCAGCTGAAAGAAGAGGGCCAGAACCCAAAAAGTCAAACGCTTTCTTAATATAAATGTATCCTCTGGTGCCTGAGAAGCAGTCAATCTTTCCACCATCTTTCAGATTCCTAGGAGAAATATCCCAGGAAATCTGAGCCATCTTCCAGAGATTCATGACTCTAGAGTCCATGGCTACTGATTCGAATTCCTACTCTGCCACTTTCTAGATGTATGACCTTGGACAAGTTATTTAAACTTTCTGTATGTCAGTTTCCTCATCTGTAAAATGGGAATTAACAGTGATTACCTCATAGGGTTAAGGGGATTAACTTAGTTATTATATGTAAACTGCCTTTTACTCTTTAGTGTTTGTCACTAAGAAAGTATTATTGAAATATGTACCCTGCCAAATACCGTCTCTGATTTTAAAGTTTTGGAATCTTTGTGTAAGTTTCAACAGGACCAAGAGAGTTTATAAGATCAGTATTAAAATGCTTTAGTGTACTATAATGCAATTGATGACCCATGTAGCCACCCATCTAGCAATAGCTAAAATACCAACTATTTATTCATTACCATAATCTTCTCCTCTTAAAATTTCAGGAGCAATGTAATTAGGAGTACCACAGAAAGTGCTGGTTGTATCTCCTGGTCGTAATCCTTCCTTTAATTAAAAAAAAAGAAAAAGAAAAAGAGAGGAAAAAAAACAAGAAATAAGATGAAAAAGTCTGTTTTAAATCCATCTTTTCTATTTCATTTATCATATTAGTTCAGCATCGATAGGTAATATATTAAGCTTAAATAACATCACTAGAACAATTGCCTTTATAATTAAAGTCATGGATCACCACTAAATAGCTTAAAGAAAATCTGTCCTTGTTAGATGTTGCTAGAGTCAGTTCAATTAAGATAAAAATTGCATTTAAAATAATTTGTATTAAAGTTAAAATTTAGTGCAAAAATTTTAACTATATGAGTAAAATAAATCATATTTCATGAAGAAAAGAAGTAGTTTAAATCCCACCTCCTAACTCACCCACTTTTGAGATTATAACATTTTCCTTCTGCTCATTTTTCCTAAGGTACAAGGTTTTTGGTTTTGTATTTTAATAGCTACAGGATAAAAAAAATTAAGGCAAAACACAGTAATGGGTATAAGTAGAGAAATTATATAATAATAAATGGAACAATCATGAAGTTATAACAAATACAAACAAACTTAGGTACACCTAGCAACACAGCCTCAAAATACAAACAGTAAAAATGAACAAAATTATTAAGAGAATTTTATAATCTCCATTCATAATAGGAGATTTTAACACATCTATATCAGGAAATGATAGATCGCGTACACCAAAAATTAGTAAGCAGAGAAAGATTTGGACAAAAGCTGAGCTAAAAAAAAGATATAAGATACATATATATGTAGAATATGTTAATCCATATGTGTGCAGAGGGGGAGAAGGAGGGAGAGAGAGACATTAAAATAGAGATTCCCTGCATGTAAAATAGAGATTATATATCCTTTTTAAGTATACATGGGATACTGACCATATGCAAAGTCATAAAGGAAATCTCAATGTATTTCAAAGAACTGATATCATTCAAACCATTCTCTGGCCACAAGGCAATTAAATAAGAAATCAACAATTAAAAAGTCTAAAAACAACTTAATAATATTATATATATAATTAAGCATCTTTTTATTTTAAACTTTACAAACATTTCCTATACAATTACAGACTTCCTATTATTAATGACTACACAAAATTCTACGGAACATATGTGCCTAGAATTTAACCATTTTCCTATTGTTATATTACATGGCCGGGCGCAGTGGCTCACGCCTGTAATCCTAGCACGCTGGGAGGCTGAGGTGGGAGGACTGTTTGAGCTAGGAGTTCAAGACCAGCCTGAGCAAGAGTGAGACCCCATCTCTACTAAAAATAGAAAAATTAGCTGGGCATGGTGGTGCATGCCTGTAGTCCCAGCTACTAGGGAGGCTGAGGCAGGAGGATAGCTTGAGCCCAGGAGTCTGAGGTTGCAGAGAACTATGATGACACCATTGCATTCTAGGTCAGGTGACAGAGTGAGACTTTGTCTCAAAAAAACGATTACATGTTACAAAATTCCAAACCAAAAAAACAGGGGCAGTACATTAAAAATCAAGCCTTCCTCCCATTCCTGTCCCTGACTCATCCAGTTCCAGCCTGCTAGAGGCAAACATTGTTAGGAGGTTCTTATGTGTTTCTCCAGAGATATTCTGGGCACAGTGAATGTATTTTTCTTCAAATTTTACCCTATTATATATAATACTGCTATAAACATCTAGAAGAAATATTTAGTAATATATTGGGATTCCAAAGTTTTTTAATGATTCCTAATAGGGATATTATATGCTATTTTTGTATACTAAGAAGTATGAATGTGATTTAAGTTATTTTATATCACTGGCAATGGCTTGTTATACATTCTCATGATAAATGACACACACTTTCAGGGCAATAGTCAGAGGCAAGAGATGTAGTCTGTTAACTAGTATCACGGCTATGCTATATCGATCATTGTTGACTGACCATCTTGAATGTAGACCATCAGCTAAATTATCTACAGCATAGCATACATGTTATTATTAAAATTCTTCCGCTTATAAAAAAGAAGAGTTCAAAGGCCCATCAATTCATAAAACCACTAAAGTTTTTCACTCAATAAAATCAATGTTCATAAAATATTTAAAATATAAGT